CTCTCGGAGGGGAGGAAGGTGTAGGCATGTGTGGAGCTGCGGTATCCCGCTGCACTGTCTGGGACGGTGCTGCGGTGGCCCGCTGCGCTGTTTGTGGCGGGGCTGCGGTTTCCCGCCGCGCTGACTGGTGCAGTGCTGCGGGAGGGACGTCAGATGTGGTATGAAGGGTGGGGAATTGAGGCGTGAGCCCTGGAGCGGCGTGTAAGAATCGCTGCTGTAGGGGGGTCTGATCTCCAATAGGAAGTGGGGGTGCGGAAACGCTATGAGCATGCAAGGCACGAAGCTGTTGCAACTCAGCTTGCATAGCGTGGAGCTGAAGTGCCGCCTGGGTGGGCAACGCTGGCATTGCTGCGGTTTCCCGCTGCATTGACTGCGCTGCACTGGGTGGAGGCATAGCTTCGTCCAATCCGTCGGTTCCTGGAGAGATGGCCATGCGGGCCGCAAAATTGGGGGAAACTCCTAGAATATCGGACATATCAGCATCCAAGTTGCGCGCGACTGACGGCGACGACTCATCATGCGGGAGGACGGACGACTGGTGTCGTGCCGTCATCTCGCATAACTAGTCCGATGTCGTCAGGTCGGGGCGCAGGTTGGACGCGATGTCGGATATAAAAGAGAAGGCTGATAACCTGTGTGAGGGTGAGGAGGACCAATGGACCGACCCCACCCCCGAGTGTCCGTCGGTAGACGATGAGGGACGATGGTTTTACCCAACGTACCTCCAAGTATCGAGTACCTGTCATCCGAGCCAAGAGGGGCGATGGATATGAGCAAGATAGGAGGAAAGTAGGGGGATTCACACACACCTCCTCCTCCTCCTCCTCATCCTGGTACTCCTCCCCCTCCCCTCCTCCTCCTCCTCCTCCTCTTCCTGGTCGTCCTCCTCCTCCTGGTCGTCCTCCTCCTCCTGCTCGTCCTCCTCCTCCTCCTGCTCGTCCTTCTTCTCCTGCTTCTCCTGCTCCTCGTCCTGCTCCTGCTCGTCCTCGTCCTCCTGGTCTTGCTCGTCCTCCCCCTCGTCGTGCTCTTGCCCCTGCTGAAAATGTAGCCCAGGAATGGGAGTTTTGGGAAGTCGAAGAGCACGAAGTTGCCTACAGTTGGCTACGGGCATTCAAAATGTGGCCCGGGAATGGAGTTCTGGGAACTCGAAGAGCACGAAGTGGCCTACAGTTGGCTCCGGGCATTCAAAATGTGGCCCGGGAATGGAGTTCTGGGAACTCGAAGAGCACGAAGTGGCCTACAGTTGGCTCCGGGCATCCAAAATGTGGCCCGGGAATGGCGTTCTGGGAACTCGAAGAGCACGAAGTGTGTGACTGTTGCATCCGGCCCCCCAGAATGTGGCCCGGGAATGGCGTTCTGGGATGTCGAAGAGCACTTTGTGTGTGACTGTTGCATCCGGCCCCCCAGAATGTGGCCTGGGAATGGAGTTCTGGGAAGGCGAAGAGCACGAAGTGTGTGACTGTTGGTGAAAAACGAGCCCGGCTCATGCCGCCCGGAAACGCCCCAACACCTGCCCGGACCCCCCTGTGGAGTGATCTGTGAGCTCTTTTGAGTCAACTAGAAACCTATCAGTCTTCGCTGTTAGGTAAAAAGTCTGGGTACCACTTTTTGGGTATCTTTGGGCACCTGTTTTGAATACTTTTGGGGTACTTTTGCTTTTCGTCGAAAATCCCCCCTGCAGGGGGACACGCCCGACTGAAACCCAGACCCCCTCGGGTGATGACAAAAAAATCGCGACGGGAAATTGTTCCTTGTCTTCGGCCTCTGGGTGCCCTTCCCGGCCCTCGGGACCGCCAAACGACGACTCGGGACGAGAAACCGGTCCCTGGGAAGGGGTCGAAACCTCGAGGGTCGACGGAGTGAAAGAATCATAGCGTCGGCGGTCTGGGAAGAGGCTCTGCCTGAGCATGGTCTAAGCGACCCCTGTCCACACTGGTGTGGCCTGGGCCCCACTGGCCGATTTACCCCCCTGGATGAGGATGTGATAAGCTGTTCACTTCGGGTTTCGAGGGGGATCTCCCCGATTAGGGTGCTGAGATCGTGGGGCTCGGGATGGGGACGGGGGACGCGGATATGGGGTCGGTTCAACGATCCTGATTGCCATCGCCGCCACCATCACCGTCGTATCAGTTGCAGCCCTCGTCGCCGCCGTCAGCCAACCCTGTCGTCCTGATCTCAACCAATGCGATGCTTGCAATCACTCGTGCAGAACAGGTTCACGCACCATGCAGGAGCAGTCCGCGTCGACTCGGGGGACATCGGATGGGACCGGAGCCCGCGTCTGCTCGGGCCGCATCGGCACGGAATCGGAATCAGACCCGATCGGCTGCGCTCGGATGCACGGCGGCGCCATGCAAACATTGTGCCGCATCAGACTGCCAAAGTATCAAAGTCGAATCGGATCGGATCGGCCAGAATCGGCGTCGAGCCGCATCGATCGGATCGGAATGGACCCTGCGAGGGGAGCGCCCGAGATGGCAAGGCTTCGGAGTGCGCGCAGACAGTCCCCCAAGCAGTCCCAGTTGGCCTCAACAGGCCCAACGAGTGGTCTGGGCCTGTCTCGACATCCTGGCGCCGCCTCTGGCGGCGCCCCTGGGGCGCTCCGCGCCCCAGAGTGGGGGCGCTGAGGCCGCCCAGGACTGCTCGCGGGGCCTGCTGAGGTCAGCTGGGACTACGGGGGCTGCCTGTGCGCAACCCGAAGCCTTACCAGTCCAAGGGGTGCTCGCAAATCATGGTCCGAGGCATGTGCGCGGACGAGGGGGGGGGGCCGAGAGACGTGTTCAGAGAAGAAGAGGGGGCCATGGAATCCTGGGAGATATCATGGCCCTGGCCATGATATCAACTCCCCTGTAGCCATCACCCCATCGTGGCCACCAGAGGGTTGGGAGGCAACTCGTGGGATGCCGTGGTGGAACTGTAAGGGCCCAGAAAGCCCTCTATGATTTAGAGGCCCTGAAAAAGGATTAGCCAGAGTAGGTCCATGGCTCAGATCGATGAAGCCGGATTGCGCGGAGATTGTGGATAATTACGCGGGACGGTACCTGAGTAAGCCCGCGTTCCACTACGGATATACCAATACCACCGCGACTGCTTAATTTGATCTCCCAGCCGTTGCATCCTTTGCTGGGAGCCGCCCAAGCGGGGCCGTGGCCGATGAAGGGAACCGAAAGGGGGGACTGTCCTGACTCCTCCGCGGGACAAACAGCACGACGCGATGCGTTTGGCAATTTTCGGCAACTGACGGGGGCCCTTGTCAAGCCCTGCGGCCGTCCACGAAAGACTCAGGGTGAGAAGCCGGCCCCCGGGAAGGGGTCAGATCTCTGAGATCGCGTTGCGATGAGGGGGGTCGGAAGGCCCCCAAGAAGCCCTGCAAAACCCAAAACTTTATGGTCAGCAATACAAGTACCACGAACCTTTTGGGAGGGGACCTAAGCTAGGAGGGCCTCACGCATCAGGGATAAAGGGGTCTTTTTTGCAGATGTATCAGGCCAAGCCGCCCTCATGCGAAGACGGGAACCTCAGTGAGGCCACGTCTTCATCGTGCTATTTGGGTTACGGGCTCTCCTGTTCTCGATGACTTTCCTTTCCGCGCTCTGCGCGTCCAGCCCCGCGGAGCGAGAGCAATCGGCACCCCTTGCGAATCTGGCTCCAGATCGCGCCGCATCGCCGATGCATCGGCGATGCGGGGCGACGCGACGCTCCGACCTGCCCGCTCCACTCGCCCTTCGGAGGCATCGAGCTGTCGCTGCCTGCTGCTGCTCCAAACGTCCAGCGGATTTCCTTATTTGATCGCGGCGTCATTCTGTGACCCAGACGCAGCCAGAACGGAGGCAACCTCGGACTGGGTGCCGTGGCCGCTTCTGGAGGAAATGTCGGGTGCCGCGGCCGTTCCAGGGCGTCTGGAACGCTCTTGGCGGAGCACAGAAGTGGCGATACCGCTACTCCCCAGACCTCTCCCAGGGCGCACGCCAACGAGAATCTCGAAAATAATGATTCACGAGATTCTGGTTGCATTCTTCAGGAATCCATAGAAGGAGAAACAACAGCATGAGCATAAACTTTTGGCGCTCCGCGCGGATTTTGCGCTGGCCCCCTCCCTGGCGCGCGGAGCGCGCCAGGGGCTGCGCCGGACGCGCCGCCAGGGGGCACCCGGCGCGGATCCGAGAAGTCCGCGCACAGCGTCGAACAGTTATGTCTATGGCGTTTTTGTTCTTCTTCGATGCTCCCGGGGCGCGCGCTGGCCAGAGTCGCGAAAAGAATCCAGCCGTGGCGACGAGGGCCTCCCAGGACGAGCAGCGGCATTGGCACCTCTTCGTCGTCCTCTGAGCTCCGAGGAGCGTTCTCGGACGGTCTGAAGCGATTTTTGCCCTGGTCCTGGGCCCGCCCGAGGAGCAGGAGGAGGAGGAGGAGGAGGAGGAGGAGGAGGAGGAGGAGGAGGAGGAGGAGAGGAGGAGGAGGAGGAGGAGGAGGAGGAGGAGAGGAGGAGGAGCGAGGGGAGAGGAGGAGGAGCAAAGGAGGAGGATGAGGAGGAGGAGGAGGAGGAGGAGGAGGAGAGGAGGAGGAGGAGGAGGAGGAGGAGGAGGAGGAGAGGAGGAGGAGGGGAGTCAGGAGGATCAGGAGAGGTCGGGTGGGAGGAGGAGGAGGATGAGGAGAATGAGGGAAGTGGGGAGGAGGAGAAGGAGCAGGAGGAGGAGATGTGGAGGGGGGAGGAGAATGAGGGAGGTGGGGGAAAAGGAGGGAGGAGGAGGAACAGGGGGAGGAGAAAGAGGAGGAGGAGAAGAGTGAGGAGGAGGAGGAGGAGGAGGGAGGAGGAGGAGGAGGAGGAGGAGCGAGGAGGAGGAGCAAAGGGAGAAGGAGCGAGGAGGAGGAGGAGGAGGAGGAGGAGGAGCAGGAGGAGGAGGAAGTTTCCAATGGCAGTTGGTGTGCGGGCCTCACGGTTGAGGCTGGGGCCCGGCGGGCGCTCTCCGGGCCGCTCGGAGCGGAGCTGCCGGGGCCCCCGCGCGCTGGGTGCGCAGCGACGCGAGCTCGCCCTCGAAGCTCTCGCAGGCGCTGGTGGCCTCCTGCGGGGGGCGGGGGGCTGCTCCCCAGGCGACGCCAAGGGTCGAGCAGGGGATCGACTGGAGATTTGATTTGCATCAAGCTCGATGGGTTCGTCGAGCCTGCGAAAATTGCGCATGATGCTCGTAGGCCTACGAACATCATGCGTACGTCTTTTCCTTGTCGACGAGAACAACAAGTTTGGGGAATCTCAGTTTTGTAGTCGATCCGATGCTCGAAATGGGGCTCGCCAAAACGTCGTGGCGGGCAAGGACCTCCGGCCGACAAGTCTGGCCCCCGCGGACCCCAGGCCTACCACGGGTCTGGTGGCGGGGCAGCGGACTTGAAAGGGGGGTTGGCTGGGGGTGCGATGGCAGGAAGGATCGGGGGAGATGGATGTCCACGCCCCCCCTCCTCATCCTCCACGTCCTCCTGACCCTTCCCCCCCTCGTCCTCCCCCTCCCCTCCTCCTCCCTGCCACCGCCTGCTGCTGCTGCTCCTCCTCCTCAGGAGGAGGAGGAGGAGGAGCAGGAGGAGGAGGACGAGGACGAGCAGGGAGGGTATGAGGAGCGGAGGAGAAGGAGAGGGAGGCGGAGGCGGGGGTGGAGAAATAGGTGGAAGAGGAGTTTCATCAGAAGGGGCGGCGGAAAGGGGGCGGAGAAGAAAGAGAGGGGGAAGGAGAAGGGAGAGCATGTGAGATGTGGAGGGGAAGAGCAAACATGAGGGCGGGGCAAAGGAGGAAGGGATGTGAGAAAGCGAGAAGGGAGGAGTAAAGGAAGAGAGACAAGGAAGGAAGGGAGGATGACGGTGTGGGAAGACAGGGATGATGGATAAGTGAGAGAGAGAGAGAGAGAGAGAACAACAACACAACAACAACACATAACACAAAAAAGTGCCCAATGGGTGCTTCATGAGACGTGGTGTGCGCTCCGACGCCGCTAGCGCTCTGTCCCGCCCAGGGCCTTGTTGGCGTCGAGAGCTGGTGTGTGGACTCTTCCTTCCTCTTCAATTGTGCATGTGTGCGCTAATCTGTGTATATAGATCGATAGATAGATAGATAGAAAGATAGCTAGATATATACACATATATAGATATACATATATATATATATATGTATATAAATGTAGATAGATAGATCGATAGATATATAGATATATAGCTAGATAGATATATAGATAGATATATAGATAGATAGACAGATAGATAGATATATATATATACATAGTTAGATATATAAATAGATATATAGAGATATATATATAGATATCTATATATATAGATATATGGATATATATATAGATATATACATAGGTAAATATATATATACATATATATATACATGTACATATATATCGGTATATAGATATATATGTATATAGCTATATATAAATGTATATATGGATATATATATATGTATATATAGATATAGTCATACATATTCACAGATAGATAGATGGACATACATATATATCGGTGTATATATATAGAGAGACATATTGATATATCGATATATATATATGTATATATATATAGATAGATCTATATCTATATAGATATATATATACATATATATATAGATCTATATAGAGAGAGATAACGAAACACAACTAATGATAGAGAGAGGACGAGAGGAAGGATGGAGAGATAGAGAAAGAGAGAGGGAGGGAGGGAGGCAGAGAGAGAGAGAGAGAGCGAGAGAGCGAGACAGACACACAGGCAGACACACAGACAGACAGGCACACAGACAGGCAGACACAAACAGACAGACAGACAGACAGACAGACAAACAGACAGACAGACAGACGGACAGACAGGAAAACTAGCTATATTGATGCATCACGACATACGGGTGCAGTGTCCAAGTATAAAATGGCTAGCCAGATAAAGGTGTGGATGAGTGGGAAGCTGTGGACGGAGAGGGGGTCTGGGTCGCAGGGTGGTGGAGACGGGCTTGGGGACGCACTTTTGGACGCCCGAAATGGGTACGGAAAGAATGGGTACAATGCCCAACAACAAATGCTGTCACAAACCAACGACGGCCGCTGTTGGGCAAGCGGCCTTCTGTCTCAGATGGACACAGGCCGTGGCGGCGCGGACAGCGAGTCCTGTCCGAAACGAACAGGAACTGCTGTTGGGCATCGTACCCGTTCTTTCCGTACCCATTTCGGGCGTCCAGAGCACTACTCCAGATTTCGTAATAAAGGGAGGGGGGTCTCATTTCGGGGGGGGGTCTCTTCCAAGCTGTCTTGGAGGGCCTGGGGGGGTCTGGGGACGATGTTTTGGAGGGTTCTCCCACGGGGGAGGTCTGAAATGGCTTGTCTTGGAGGGTCCAGACCCCCTCCCTTTTATCACGAAATCTGGAGTAACCATGGAGGTCAACGCAACCCCGGGTCGGCCAGGGCTGTGCCGCGCAGCCCCGCGGGCCGCCGAGTGGCTCCCGGACCCAGGCCCGCGGGAGGGCGGCTTAAGAGGGCATCAGCCGCACGCGGCTGCCGACCCCGGGTCGGCCAGAGGGGAAAGGCGGATCCCCGTGCTGCGCGTCGGCCACACGCAGGAATGGCCCTGGGCAGGAGTGGCCTTTCGTTGCGCGGCGTTCTGGGGGCCGCGGGGGGCAACCACCCGAGAGCGCCAGACGCCACTGCCCCTCGCGTTCGGCGATCGGGGGGCCCCGATGGGCGCGTACCCAAAGGCCACTCCGGCCAAGGGTCCCTCGTGCGCGCAGCCGCGTGCGCCCCGACGGGCTTTCCGGCCGCTTCTGCAGGTCTCGACTCCTCGTGGCGCTTCTGCCAGTCCTCCAGCACGGCACGCGACTCGGCGCTGTCGCGCTCCGCGGCCTGCCGGGCCGAGCGCGGGCGGTGGGCGGGCCGCGGCGGCCCGAGCGCAGGCGGCAAGCCGCGGCGGGCCACGGTGCAGCACCACCCAGGGGGGCCCTGCAGGCCATCGTGCTACCACAGGGGGCGCTGACTCTGGACCGGCGGGGCTTTCTTGTGGACGCGGCGAGCCTCGGCCAGGAAGAGGTGCCCCCCGACCTGGACCGAAGGAATGGCCCGAGAACGGGATCCCCGGTGGAACCCCAGGTTGTCATTGTTGCGGCATCTTGACTGCACTCCTGTCGCGCTCCGCGGCCTGCCGGGCCGAGCGCGGGCGGTGGGCGGGCCGCGGCGGCCCGAGCGCAGGCGGCAAGCCGCGGCGGGCCACGGTGCAGCACCACCCAGGGGGGCCCTGCAGGCCATCGTGCTACCACAGGGGGCGCTGACTCTGGACCGGCGGGGCTTTCTTGTGGACGCGGCGAGCCTCGGCCAGGAAGAGGTGCCCCCCGACCTGGACCGAAGGAATGGCCCGAGAACGGGATCCCCGGTGGAACCCCAGGTTGTCATTGTTGCGGCATCTTGACTGCACTCCGGGTTTCCTAATGAGCGTCGGGGGGGCGCCACCCCCGCCGACAGCCCCACATCGACCCGCTCCGACCCCCGTCGCGGCGCGACGACGAGGCGAGGTGGATCCTCGTCGGGGGGGTACCCCCCCCACGCTGATCAAGAACCCCAGAGTAGGTTACCAAACTTCGCGCATCGCGCTCTGCGACGCGTCACGCGCGGTTCGCCGCGGTCATCCTCGCGCCCTCGCGCCGCCGCACCCGGTGAAGGGCAGCTCCCCAGCCCAGGCCGCGACTCGCGAAAAGCGCAGTGATCGGCGCGCCCCGGCAGGCATCCCTCTCCTGAGCTCATTCGGCGTCGGTGCCAACTGGGCCCCCGAGCGAGCGGCCGACGGGCTCAACTCCAGCAGGGCGGAGCGAATCGGGCCCACTCGGCCGCCGTGTGGGCTGGAGGAGGAGGAGGAGGAGAAGGAGGAGGAGGAGGCGGAGGAGGGAGAGGAGGAGGAGGAGGAGGAGGAGGAGGAGGAGGAGGAGGAGGAGGAGGAGGAGGAGGAGGAGGAGGGCAGGAGAAGACCCCTCCTAGTGAGCACCACGACAGGCGAAGCCGTTTGGCCAAGAGGAGGGAACCGAAGCGTGCAGGGCAACTGCTTCGTGAACGCCCTGGACCGTTCAGCAGACGCCAGGTGTGGGGGGGGGGGGGTCGGGGGGGGGGGCTTCCTCCCTCCCTTGCCGAGAGGGCCCCGACGATGAAGTGGCTGGGGCAGCGGCGGCGTGGGTAGGTGACCACATCCGAACCCTGCCCCGGCTAACCATCGACTCTCCTGAACCGATGGGGGCCAGGGGTGGGATCCGGGTTTGCGCTGCGTGCGCGAAGGACTCCGACCTCTACCCCCGCCGCCCATCCAGCGGCCTGAATCTCGGCGGTGGGCAATTCTCCCCTTAGTAAACCTCCCATTCATGAAAACGGCCTGGGACCGAAACCGACCGACCTGGACCCGCAGAAATGACGGCCATGACGGCCGGACGCCCTCTCGCGAACCGAAAACGGCCAATTCCTTAATCGACGTGTCAGGGTAGGAGGTCTATCCACCTCCGAGAATCGCTGATCGGCGGGGAAGGGGGATCCGGACTGCGCCGCCAAGTGGGGCGCAGCACAGGCGGCAGCGAGCGCCTGGGCGACCTGACCTCGCGCCTCGCGGGAGGCGCGGAGCGCGATCGACTGCCCCCGCAAGACCTCCGCCCCCACCCACCCCCGCCCCAGGGAGGGGGGGACGGGCCTCTGGGCTCAGACCGCGAGGCGCGAGGAGCGATCGTCTTCTCGCCCCGGCGGGTGACCTGCCCCCAGCCGAGCGGCGACGAAACCCAGCGGGCCTCACGCAAGATGGCTCTGCGACACTGCGCCGCGGCTTCCGCGGGCCGCCAGCCCGACACGCCACATTGGAGACGAGGGCGCGTAACTACGCGGGCAACTATGAAGGGGCCCACAAACACACAAACAAATACACACCAATAAAAGGATTCCCCATATTTTTTCCATATTTTCTGGGTGTTTGTCTTCCACCCAAGCCCCACATTTTCCTATATTTTCCTGGGGATCGACGATTAATTGTGTCTGTGTGTTTCTTCCCCTCCTGAAACTTACGCGCCACCCGTGTCGGCTCAGTCGACTCCGTGTTTCTGCGTCGCTCACCTGCAGAGGCGGTGGCACTCCACCTGCCCCCAGAGAGCCCTCCAAGAAAGGCAACCCAAACCTTTCAAGAACGCCCGGAAACCTAGACCCGTGACGACGACGGAAGTTGCATGAATTCAGTTCGGGAGCGGCAAAGGGGGGGGTGTCCAAGAGTGGGGGGGTGCAAATCGTGACCGGCGGCATGTGCGCGGCCCAGCGGGGGGGCCAGGGACGTAATGAAATAAGAAGAGGCGCCATGAAATCTGGGGAAATATCATGGCCCACGCCATGATATCCACCCCCCCCTAGTCATCACCCCCCTCTTTTCAGCCCCCGATCATTGCGCAGCCTGCTGAAACTTCTACGCGGGAACACCTCGACCCTTGACGACGACGGCAATTGCATTGCCTGCGCAGCCTGTTGAGGTTTCCGTGCGACTCGACCTTAATGCACAAAGACTGTTGCAGCTCCAGCATATCCGACAGCGACGCAGCCACGACCACTGCCCACGACGGCACTCGACGTCGGTGGTGCGACAGCCCGCATCAGCAGCAGCTCTCCTCAGCCGCGAGCCACTTCTCCTCCTCCTCCTCCTCCTCCTCCTCCTCCTCCTCTTCCGCCCTCCCTCTCTATTTCTCCTTCTCTCTCTCTCTCTGCCTCTCTCTGTCTCTGTTTCTCTCTCTCGTTCTCTCTCTCTCTCTCTCTTTCGCTTTCTTTCCATCCGCCTACTCCTCCCGTGCCCCCTCCAAGGTTGCCCAGATGGCGCAAGCCACACGTTCACATACCCGTGTGGAGGTATCCACAGGACGCCCTCGCGCGGTTCTGACCTGAAGCACCCGTGGGAAGATATCCCACAGGACGCCCTCGCGCGGTTCTGACTCGAGGCCCCCGGCAGCCAGCGCGGGGCGGCGGCGGCCCGCCTGGCGCTGGCTGCGCACCTCCAGCGCCTTCCTCTCCACCTCCCGCATCGCGGCGGCCACTTCCCTGGCGCGGCAGAGGGCGGCGCACCGGCGCGGCTTGCGCTGGTTGGGGATCCCACATAGGGGGGGTACGGCGAGGGCGCCTTCTTGCACGCATCAAGAGAGGATGAGGATGAGGAGGAGGAGGAGGAGGCGGAGGAGGAGGAGGCGGAGGCGGAGGCGGAGGAGGAGGAGGCGGAGGATGAGGAGGAGGAGAAGGAGGAGGAGGAGGAGGAGGAGGAGAGGAGGAGGGCTTGCACGCATCAAGAGAATCATCTCGCTTGTGGCCCCTGCGCTCTCCGCGGGTCGCTGCTTCCCCGCCCTGTCCACGCGCCCGCTCTCCCTCGGTGAGGGCGCTGGATAAGGCACGAGTAAACGAGGCATCCGGGGCCCAGAAGCTGGTGGAACTCCAATCGTGGACTGGCCGTGGATGCCACAGCCTCGCCGCCGCGCTCACTAGAGGAGGAGCGCCCCAGGGTCTGAAGCCTCCTAGGCACATTCCTTAGCAACGCCCCCACCGCATCAACGACACGATGCCGTGGAGAACCCATCGGCGTGCTACGGTCGGGAGCTCTTGCCCGACGCGTCGCGGCGGCGGCCCGGGCGATACGCTATGTCCTGCGAGCGGATCGCACGTCGCTCCGCTCCGGGGGGGCGGGAGGCGGGAAATGCTCGGGATCTTGACGCCTGGGGACGGCTGGGCCGCGGATGGCGTGTCGCGCCGAAGCGTGGTCCAGAACCCGCGGAGCGATACGCGAACCAGACGTTCCCGACCGCAGCATGCCATGCGCATCCAGGGGGGAACGGGTCAGCGGAAAGGAGGGGACAGCGGAAAGAGGGGTGAGCACATGAGCTCACGCAGCTGACGCTTGGGGACGGGCACGTGGATAGCGCGTCGCGCCGAAGCACGGATGGCCAGGATCTGCGGAGCGACACGCCGATCCAGATTTCCCGACCGCACTGTCGAAGAAACAATCTCGCTCGATTCAGCACCGAGGGCGGACGCAAATGCGTTCGGACAGCTGGCGGGCCGCGCCAGAGCCACAGTCGGCTGCTGAGATAAAAGGAACGCTAGATCAGGAACGAGGCACCTCTTTGGCGCCAAAAGACAAGAGAGCCAGGGAGCACGAGGGATGCTGGAGGAACGACCGCGCAATGACCGAAGAAACAGCGAGTCCAAAGCGGTCCCCCTCCTCCTCCTCCTCCTCCTCCTCCTCCTCCTCCTCCTCCTCCTCCTCCTCATCATCATCATCATCATCATCATCATCCGTAGCCATTTTGGCTCAAGAGCTGCTCCTCGGGCGCGCGGGCGGGCTCGGCGCGTTCGGGGCGGCGCCATTGGGCGCAGATGGTTGCGGTCGGCTGCACGGCCGCCTTCAAGGCGGCAGAGCAGCCTGGCGCCGCTGCCGCAGGGGGGTCCCTGTGGCCAGCGCGGCGGGCGCGGCGGGCGGCGGCGAGGGCCGTGGAGCTCGGCAAGCTCGCAGCCGCCCTCAGCCGCATCGCGGAGCTGGAGGGCACGGTGCAGTTGCTGGAGGTGCAGCTCGAGGCCGTGAGCGAGCGGCACAAGGCGGCAGCTGCTCAGGCTGTTCTCCTTGCCGACGACCAGGCAGGCGTGCGTGCGGCTGCCGATACCCTTCGCGACGAGCTGGTCACGCGCGTGGCGCTGGCCGTGCCCATCGTCGAGGAGGTGCTCGCAGACGCTGCTCGCGGAGCAGCTGGCGGAGGCGGCGCTGTGGCTACTGCGGCCGGTGCGGCCGCGACCTCTGGCCGGCAGCGGGGGCGTGGGCCTGCGCAGCGGGTGGAGAGGTCCAGGCGTAACGCTGGACTCCACTGCGCTAGCAGGCGCGGCGCCAGCATCGCCCGCATGCAGCTGCCGTCGCTGAGCCGCCTGCAGCGGTCGGGCGGATCTACGGCGATCGGCGGTGCGCGGGATCGGGCGCGGAGGCTCGTGCGGCCTACGGTGACGCCTCACCGCCGCCAGCCCGCTGCGCGGGCGGCTTGTGACGCGGCCCCGCAGGAGTGGGCCATCGCTCGCAGGCGCGGGCGGAGCTTGTCCGCAGGCGCATGCTTCGCGCTCGGAGAGCGGGTCCGCTGCGCAGGTGCACATGTGGCGGCTCCGCTTGCCTCGGGAGCGAGGTGGTGGAAGTTCGGCTACGACGACGTCGTGGCGCCGAAGGCGGACGAGTCGGTCGGCGGCGAGGTCGCCTGCTCGGGCCCCGCCGGCTTCGCACACGCCGAGGACACGCAGGACGCGGCGGTTGGCGCTGCAGAGGGCGGCAATGGCATCGTCGCGGAGGCGCTCGATGACGTCGACGAGGACGGACCCACGGTGGGCCCCACCGCAGGCGGGCTCAAGGAGGAGTTCGGCGAGGTGTCGCACGTGGAGTTCCTGGACGCGGCGGCCGCTGCTGCAGACGCCCACGGCGTCGTGCAGGTAGGGCAAGCCGACGACGTGCTGGACGTGACGGTGGGCGCCGCAGGGCGCGGCAATGACATCGTCGCGGAGGCGC